GAGTACCGCATATCCCCTCAGTATGGTCATGTGCATTGAGGTGTCCTACTACTATCCGCCACGCGTTAGCAATGGGTTGGGTTCTCCGCCAGGGTACTTTCCCTGGTGCGCATTCCGATGGCCGCCTCGGATTACCAACACGATGCGGGGACCCCTTAGAAAGGGGGCTCCCGCCCGAGACCTCCTCGCCATTCGCTCACAGACGAGTGAGCGCGCGAGACATCCATATACATTGCTCGGGAACGAGTCTCCCGCCCGAAATATCCTCGGGATTCGGGCTCCCAGGTGCCACCAAGCCTGCGCTCAGGTGGCATTCCGATGGCCGCCTCGGATTGCCAGCATGAGGCGGGGACCCCACAGGGAGGGGGCTTCCGCTCGGTCATTCACACGATTCACAGACAGGCGATTCTCCCGCTCGAGACTCTCTCCATATTTCTTGGTGTGAGTGCGTGAGTCAGTGTGCGTGCGTGTGCGAGTGTGTGCCATGATGCTGCTTCTGGTGATGATGATGATGATGCTGAGGAGGAGGAGGAGGAGGAGGAGGAGGGGGAGGAAAAGGATGAGGATGATGATGTTGCTGTTGCTGATGATGATACTGATGCTGATGATGGTGATGATGATGTTGCTGCTGACGATGATGCGGATGATGCTGATGCTGATGATGATGATGATGATGATGATGATGATGATGATGATGATGCGGATGCTGATGATGCTGCTGCTGATGATGGGGATGAGGATGATGATGTTGATGAGGGTGATGATGCTGCTGATGATGGTTGATGGTGATGCTGATGCTGCTGCTGATGATGATGGTGATGATGGTGTTGCTGATAATGATGCGGATGATGATGGTGATGATGGTGATGGTGATGGTGATGATGCTGATGATGATGCTGATGCTGATGCTGATGCTGATGCTGATGCTGATGCTGATGCTGATGCTGCTGATGATGATTGGAGGGGTTTGAGGTTCTCGCGCGGGGTGGGCAGAGGAAGCAACGCCCCCCTTAGGATGTTGGGAAACCAAAAAACGTTACTACTCGCAGCAGGTGGTGGGGCGCCCTTCTCTCGGCACGTCTGCGGGGGAGAGGGGAGAGCAGTACTCGTACCGTGTAGGTACCAAGTGGGTGGACGTGGGGGGGGGGCCGGAGCCAGCATTGGCAGGTGGCCTGCCCCGGCAGGGCTCGTTTGGCTTCCTCCGATTCGGTTCGACCCGACTTCGATGGCTTCCGATTCCGATTCCGATTCGACTTGGGCTTCCGATGTGGGGTCCGACTGTCTATTGGAGACATACCAGGCTGGCGATTTCCGCCGATTCGACGTTCCCCGACTCGGCTGCCGATCTCCCCCGATCCGATTAATTTTTGACCGCCGATCCGGCTTGCCGACTCGATTCTGGACTCTGCTGCCCTGGGGTGCACAGGTGGCCTCACTGTGCTGCGATGCGGGTGGGCTCCCTGCACGGGTCGGACTCCACCTCGTCAAGGAGGGCCTTCGACCCTCATGCTTTTTCCCAACCATCCTGCTGTGGTGTTGGGTGCTCGTTTTGAAGAGACGGTCCCCGCGTTCTCCTCCTCTCGTGCCCCCCCCCCCTCCTCCCTACTGTCCGCATGCGTCCCGGACACCTGGGACCCAGTACAGCGCTTCGTGGCCCCATAGGGAGCCCCACCGAAGGTCCCAGTGCTACCGTCCGCATGCGTCCCGCACACCCAGTACAGCGTTTCGTGGCCCTACAGGGAGCCCCACCGAAGGTCCCAGTGCTACCGTCCGCATACGTCCCGCACACCCAGTATAGCGTTTCGTGACCCTTCTCCCCCGTCCTCCCTGCGTTTCACCCACCCAGTACAGCGTTTCGTGGCCCCATAGGGAGCTCCACCGAAGGCCCCAGTGCCCCAGTCCGCATGCGTCCCGGAAACCCAATTTGGCATTTTCGTCCACCCAGTGCAGCGTTTCGTGGCCCCAGGGGGCTCCACCCAAGGCCCCAGACAGAGCCACCGTCCGCATGCGTCCGGGAAATGTAATTTGGCATTTTCACTCGCGCAGTGCAGCGTTTCGTGCTCCATAGGGGGCTCCACCGAAGCCCCCAGTGGGACCGTCCGCATGCGTCCCGGTAACCCAATTTGGCATTTTCACTCACTCAGTAGAGCGTTTCGTGGCCCCATAGGGAGCTCCACCGAAGCCCTCAGTGGGACCGTCCGCATGTGTCCCGGAAACCCAATTCGGCACACCACCCACACAGTACAGCGTTCCCCCCCGCCCAGTGCAGCGCTTCGTGGCCCAATAGGGAGCTTCACCGAAGCAGATATTCACAATTACGGTACCCACAACTGCATATGGTTGGGACCTTCGCCAGGATACTTGTTTGCGCCCCTTTTGGCTTCCTTCGTCCCTCATGTGTCTTTCGTTTGCTTCCTGGCTCTGTGTCTCCCCATCCTGTCCCTCCCCTTCCTTTCTCTTCCTCCAGGGAAACGGAAACAGGTGGTGTAGGGTTTGCAGATCCGCCAGGGTCCAAATCGGTCGCAGTGATGAGCACTACAGGCGAGGACCTATTGCATGCCCCTGGTCCGGGCATCCGTGGCGTCCCCATCCTTGGACCTTGTGGTACCATTAGCGTTCAGGAGTTGACGTCGGAGTACAAGAACATGTTCCACGACACTGGCGGCGCATCTGCTTCGTCCTCGCAGTGGCTCGCCGCGGCTGGCAAGGCTGCCGAGCTGGCGTGCAACGGTGCTAGGAAAGAAACAGCAACACCACAACCCAGGACGACGGACCCTCAGATTTCAGCGTCGCGCAAAAACACCAGAAAGAACGCACGACTCGCGTTTTCCTGTTCTTTTCGGTCCCAGGCGGCCCAAGGACCCTCACAGATCGAGACGGGAAGCGTAACGATAGAGTTCGAGAGCTCCGACCACGACTGTTTCGCAATGCTATGTTCCTGTTCCCAAGGAGAGGATTCTCGGGGTGGGTGGGAAGAGCAGGTACTGTCTGTCAACACACACAGCCACACCGAGGATGTTGTGTGCCTTTACAAGGGCAGCCTCCCCCGCCCCCTTCTTACTCAATAATGTGTGCACAGCTTGTCTGCCAGCTCCTTGCGAGTGATCGCTCCGCACGCTCCGCCAGCCCACATCGTATTATCGCCGGCACGTGCTTGCGTGCTCGCGGGAGCTGCGCAAGTGGTGGGTGGCGGTCGTGTCCCTGACCCGTGGCGTGAACATCGCCCTGGGAGGAGAAGCAGCGGCCTGGCAATTCCGGAGCGACGCTCGACGGATCGCGCCCCCAGAGCAGCTACGTCAGTGCAGGTCTCGACCTGAGCAGTGCTTTGGCAATCTCGTGGACCGCTTTCGTCCTGAGTTCGTTTTGCAGCAGTGGCAGAACGAAGACAGCACGAGAGCAGACGAAAAGCAACACGGACACGAAAACGCCGCTTAGGTCGCGCCCTGCGTCTGCGCATCTTGCCACCGTGCCCGAGTCGTGGGCCAGAGGCGTGCTGGATGCCCCGCTGGAGTTTCTAGGGATGCCTCTCCGGGGCTCCTTGCGGGCCTCTGCGGGACATCCGGGGGCCTCTCTGGGGCTCGTTTGGAGCCCCAGGGCTCGAGCTAAAAAATGTCTTGGCGATTTCGTGGACCGCTTTCGTTTTGCTTTCGTTTCGCAGCGCAGACAGAACGAAAACATAACGAAAGAAAACGTTAACAAACCAAACATGAAAAAACACTGTTTCGCTCGAGTCCTGTGGAGTCCATCTGGAGATTCTTCGGGCCGCGGGGCTTCATGGGGGCATCCTGGAGGCCTCTCTGGGATTCTCCTGGGGGGCCTCTTGGACCGTCTTGGGGGGTGCTTGGGCCGTCTTGGGGCTCTCTTAGGCTTTCTTGTGGCTCTGTGGGATGCCTCTGGGACCGTCTTTGAGCAATATCTGGCCGTCTTTGGCTGGAAAGCCGAGAACGTCACAATCTTTCAGACATGGTTCGGCAATCAATGATTGGTGTATCGTGGGGCCCTCTTGGGCCGTCTTCGGGGCCTCTTGGGCCGTCTTCGGGGCCTCTGTGGCCGTCTGGAGCCCATCTTCGGCAGTCTTGGAGCGCTTTTGGGTCGTTTCTTGGCCTTTCGAGCTCCTTTGGAGCACTGCTGGGTTTGTCGTGGGGGTTCAGAATCCCGCTCCAGTTCCGGCATTTCTGATCCGACCTTGACTGACGACGATGCGATTTGATTGCAGACAGACAGATGGTGGAGGGAAGGCGTGGGGTGTGTGTGTGTGTGTGTGTGTATGTGTGTGTGTGTTTCGCAACAGCCTCCCAGGTACAGGCCTTGCATACAGTCCCGCAGATTGTCTGCGGCGCCCCCAGGCGAGGACACTGGCCACCGGAAGGATCGCAGTGACCATGATCATCGCAGTTCTCACTGCATGCGATCCTGATGTAAGGCTCTCGGATTGCCCGTGCACTCTGCCCGTGCACTCTGCTTTGGGCTGCGGATGGCAGTCGTTCGACAAATGTCTCCCCCTATCTTCCGCTTTCCCCTCTATCCTTCTTCGTCCCGCCCTGCCGAGCTGCTGCCCCGTGACAGACCGCCCGCCGTGCGGGCCTGAACGCCAAGGTTTGACCTGGGCTGGGGCTCGATGACGTTCTCGCTCAGCACGGAGCCTCCGTTCGACGGCGTGTTCGCCGTGGCAGAGGCGTCCCAGAAGGGCAGCCAGCGGCCGCAGGCGTTCGTCCAGCCGGTGGCGAACGGGACCGCGTCGATGGAGAGTCTGTTCGACTCCGTGGACAGCGTCTACAAGAGCCTCAACACGCCGAGCCTTAGGTCGGGCGTGTCCCCCTACGGGAGGAATCTGTTTCCAGAGCAGTAGAACATCGTCTGGTGGGTGCGATGTTTGGTGCTTCTTTGACCGTGCTGGATTGTTGGTTGGCTGATCTGTGATTGATTTCTCTTCCAGCATTCCGCCTGCAGGAGGACATGCCCGACCTAAGCCGAGCCCTGACCTGCTGTTCCTGAGCCCCATGGTCGGGAATTGCATGTCCGTGCGGCTGCTGGGGCGCTCCCGCCGGGGGGCGGCGGGTGCCGGGCCCCCGCAGATCACCCCGAAGCTGGTGCGCTCGGTGCGATCGAAACGGGCACGGAGAGCACGGGGACGAAGATTGTCAGCAGGGAGCGAAGATTCTCAGCAGCTCTCAGCCACGACGACGACGACGAAGACGGATGACGTCGAGGTTCCTTGTGGTCTTGCAGCCCCGGGACGCCTTATAGTGGCTGCGCATCGCTGGCAGCGTCACGTGGGTGTCTGGATCGTTCCGAACGGCCGCCGGAGGCCTGAGTTCTGACCTGGACACCATCAGGCGTCGAAGAGGTCAGGGGCAACGCTAGGATGTTACATCGAAACTTAGAGCATATACATTATCAGTGGCGGGCTGTGTTTCAATCCCACGGCGTGGTGTTCCTGGGAAAACGACGAACATATATGCATTGGTTCCCGTATACACCAGGATTTTCTTGCGCAAGTTTCAGTGCAGGGTCAGAGAAAGCGTCGGTGTATTGGGTTCGGTTCAGGTCAGTGGGGTAGAGCGGGGGGGCGTCCCCCGGTACACAGCACTAAACCAGGTCCCACTGAACCCAGTCCTGCCAACGCCCGAGGGTATCGGTGACATGCCGCCGGTGGGAGCCCGTCAGCGGGATACTCCTTCGCTTTTGTTCCGAATCCCCATGGCTGCGTGTCCTCTACACTGCTCGTGCTCCCCAATTGCTGCTCATGCTCCACAGAGCGCGTTGTCGGTGCCGCCGCGGCTGTGGCCCGTGCGAGACGGCAAGGCGCCTGCCCAGCAGCGGCCGCTGTCCGTTCTGGACAGCATCTGCTGTCGGGCATCGTTGAAGGGAAGAAGAGGCACCCCGACCCCCGTTTGGCGTTTACTAAACGGCCCTGGGCGTTTACTAGACAGCCCTGCCCTGTTCAATTTCTTCCTTGGGTGCGTTTACTAAACGGCTCCGCATATCGGAATGCTCATGATAACCGGCGGCGAGCCTGGGGGAAGTGAGAAGGGGCGGACCCTCCCAGGAGGCTCTGAAGGCCTCGGGCCTTCTGAGAAGTTTCCTAAGCCTTCCCCGAAGACGCAGAACTCTTTTCGGAAGGCACGAGGGCTTCTATTGGGCTCCGCCGCCTTCTGAGAAGGCCTGCTCCCTCTCACTCCCCCCCCACGGGCGCGCCGCTGATTATCGTGAGGGTGGTTGTCTGCACGCTGATCGTACCTCTTTGTTGCTCCACGTGCCCGCTTCGGGCTTCGCCGAGGTGTGGCTGCCGGTGAACCCGTTGATACCGCCGCCGTGGCAGCTCGAGCCGGACTTCTCGGCCTGGCACAGGAGGTGGCACGAGCGGCGAGCATGTCCGCACAGTCAAGACGCTGAAACAAGGACAGTTTTCGTGAGAGGAGGAGGAGGAGGAGGAGGAGGAGGAGGAGGAGGAGAAGGAGGAGGAGGAGGAGAGGCTCGCTGTTTCTGAAATCATTCCGTGGTTGTCTGTTCTCTATCCCTCCTCGTGCATCCAGGCAGGCGCTGCTGGTGCCAACAAAGGGGTTTCGTTCCTTATCCAGCCTTCCTTATTGCAGCAGCCCGACCGTATCGCGCCCTCGCGGTCTGGATTCGGGCGCGATCCCGGGCCCAGCACGCGAGGCCGAGGATACGGATACGTCATTCGCTCACGAAGGTGGGTCGACGCTCAGCGGGAGGACCAGGAGGCGGCGCGAGCGAGGTGTCTGGGTGAGGGGTCAGAAGAGGGCCAGTTGCGACAACGGCAGTGAGATCGCGGGGGGCTCCCACGTCACCACGGCCAGACGCAGCCTCGGAAAATTAAATTGGTGCGTTTGGACCCTGGGGACCGATTTTGAGGTGTCGTTGTTCAGGAGGGGAAAAGCACACAGACACGATTAGTCGGCGATTCCTAGGAACATCCGCGAGACTATTGGAAGTGGGGGGCAAGGCGAAAACCCGGAAAATATAGGGAATCCTGGGATGTGTGTCCATTTATTTGTGTGTCCAGGGGCCCCTTTAGTTGTCTCAACTCACCCTCCGAAGGGGTGAATCCCGATCGTGCCAGAGGGGATCCGGGTTCGGGTGTTGTCGGGGGCGGCCCTGACCCGAGGTGGTGGTCTTCTCTTCCCCCGGGAGGCACAGAGGTGACCTCCAGAGCAGCCTTGTTCGCGGAGCCCAGAAGGCCCCCCAGGGGGGTCAGAGAGGCGCGGGAAGTTGGGGGGCACCCTGGGCCAGGGTCACCCCCGACAACCTCCGAGAAGAGCCAGAACCGCCTGTGTGTTTCATGCGGTCAAGCTCAGTGGGTCTCTTTTGGGGGAAGCTCATCTTGACGTACAGGATACGCTTCTCTGCGTTTCCGTAGAGGCTACTACGGGCAGTTGAAGGCAACTACAGGCAGTCAAAGGCCGCTAGAGGCCATTGACGGCCGCCAAAAGGCAACTGAAGGCCACTAAAGGCCGCTGACACACTGAAGGCCGCCTACGGGCTACTACACTGATGCGGTCTATGTTAGCATGAGCTTCCTAAAAGACTGGTTCCGTGCAGGTGGAGGGATGCGCAGTGGTGGTTCGCGCAGTGCTCCCTCGCGTCTGCGGCAGCCGTGATGGAGGAGCAAGGCTCCGAAGGTGATGGGCCGATTTTTCCAACATCACGACCATACGGAGGAGAGGGAGGAGGAGGAGGAGGAGGAGGAGGAGGAGGACCTCCCCATCCTTCTTCCCGTCCTACCTATGGTAGTGGTGGTGGGAATTGGCCCATCAGAGGGGGGAGCGCGAAGTTTGCCCTTGCTGACCAACCTCACCATACCTCGATCCAGACGTCGAATGTCAAGTACGAGTCAAAACCCCGTTGTCTTAAGAATCGGCTGCGAGCGAGGGGGGGAAGTGCGAAGGAGGAGGCCTTCTCTGAAGGCGGCGGGGCTTCTCAGAAGCCCTCGCGCCTTCTGGGAGTTTGTTTGTGACTTCGGGGAAGGCTCAGATAACTTGTTCAGAAGGCCCGAGGCCTTCCGAACCTGCAGAGAAGGCCAAGTCCTTCTCAATTCATCTCTGGGCGCGCCGCCGTCAGAAGACATGCTCGCCGTGTGGAGGCCGAACAATAAATCGGCTCCTTACTAAATTTGCAGTTGGCACGTATGTTCTTCGAGGCCGTGGGCCTCACCCGGTCCGCCCTTACGTGGCCTGGGTTGTTGTTTGCACGAGCGTTTTGCAGGACCGAGGGAGACTATCATGGACGCCCGCGTTGTTGTTCAAGTAGTGTATGTTACTCGTTTGCTTTGTTCGTTGCAGCACCTTTGCTCCTGCCGAACAGCAGCAAGCTGATGGGATCGTTCGACCGATGTGTTCTATGTTGCTGCTATGCTGCTATGTGTTCTTTCCGATCCGAGCTCCGATCACATCCCCTGTGAGGACAATCCTGGAGGCCTCTGACGGGGCGCAGTAGTTGGTATTGTCTGGTCCGGACGTCCGCCTCGTCAGACAATGTGGCGAACGTCGCGCGGCGATGTTCCGACATGAGCCGGTCGTGAGTGACTGCGGGGTGCGTCCGACGTGATCCCGGCTTGAGTCCGACGTGGCGCCGAAGCGAATCCGGCGGAACTCCCACCAGTTGGCCGCGCGAGGCCTCTATAGGATTTCCCTCACAGGATCCCCTCCGGGACGCCAGGGCTCGTTCCGATTCGATTCGATGTCGATGGCTGCGGATTCCGTTTCGATTTGACTTGGGAGTTCGATTTAGGTTTCGATCTCTTCTCGGAGGCATGCTAGCCTGCCGATTTCCGCCGAGTCGCCTTTCCCCGACTCGGCTGCCGATCTCCGCCGATCCGATTCATGTCGATTGCCCATCCGACTTTCGATTCGATTCTGGGCTCTCCTGGGAGGCTACGTGCTCCTGCACCTGGAGCACAGCTTCGCGGTCTTCGTCCTCAGGTCGCTGTGGCCGGCGGTCGCGCCCATGGTGCAGGAGACGGTGCAGCACGGCATGGGTGCCCCGCGCGCCGCTGCCGCCGTGGGCGCCGCCACCGCCGTCGTCCGAGGTGCGAGGAGTGAGGCTCGAGAGCGCGCCGTACAGGAAGCGTATCTGAAACGTGGACGAAACACAAACGAAACGCAAGTGACACGCACGTGAAGCGCACATCGAACCACACGAGCGTATACGGCACGTGTTCGGCACGTATGCAATAACGTTTGCGAAACCTATTCGGACTTAAAATGATACGCATACGGAACGTATACACACAACGTGTACGGAACGAACACACAGCACGCACACATATCGTGGACGAAACGTTTTACGACACATGTACTGAATGTGCATGGTACGTACAGGAAGCGTTTACGGAACGTATACAGCACGTCTAAAAGCACGTATATACAACGTAGATAAACGCACACGAAACGCATCCTGAACGTCCATTCAACGTGTATACTACCTATCCGAACTTAACCGAAGCGCGTACACAACGCATGCACGCATGCAACAAGTATGCGAGGCGTATACGCGCCGCTACGAAACGTATGCGAGACGTACCAGCAATCGCATCAAACACAGCATGCGGCACTGCACGATCGCGACAGTCATACGCAACATATGTACAGACATGTATATATGCACATATATATATATATGAATCAAACGCATGCAAAGCGCATACAAAACATTTATACACAGTGCGCAACGCGTATCCGACATGTATAAATAACGATTGTTCTTGACGACCCCTGAGGGCTCTCAGGAACAAATATAATAGGTTCGTACATATCCCAAACATATTCCTGAATATTCCTCTGGATTCCGAGGGATTTGTGAACATGCATGAGGTTTCTTGAAGAGTCTTAGGGGTCCCAGCAAGTTTCTGACGAATCCAAATGTTTCTTGAGGATTCCTTAAGATCCCGACGGATTCTTCAAGAACTTGGGAATTCCAAAAACGATACCAGACAATTCCTTGATGTTCCTGGTGATTCCCCAAGATGCCTACGGATTCCTACAGATCCCTGGGGGGTGGTGAGGGCTCTTGCCAAGGAACGCCTTGCAAGCTGCCAGGTAGCGCCGTAGAAGCTGCCAAGGAGCGCCGTAGAAGCTGCCATGGATCGCCTTAGAAGCTACCACGGAGCGCCTGAGAAGCTGCCACGGAGCGCCGTAGAAGCTGCCAAGGAAAGCCCTAGAAGCTGCCAGGGAGCGCCCCAGAAGTTGCCATGGAGCGCTTCAGAAGCTGCCAAGGAGGTTCTTTATCAACGTTTCTGCAATTTCTGAAGCCTTGAATCTTCAGAGACTACAGCCAGGAAGTGGACCATTTCACCGGGGAGTGCTCCAACCCCCTCCCACCCACTCCCCTCCCCGCGCAAGGGGTGCGGGGGGTAACAGTCCCCCCCCCGCCGCCGTCGTCGTTGCCGTCGTCGTTGTCGCAGTCGCCGTCGTCGTCGTCATCGTGCTCGTCGTTGTCGTGGTCGTCTTTGTCGTCGTCGTTTTCGTCGTCGCCACCTCTGGCCCGACAAGTCACATCCGCCTCGGGCCAGAGCCAGACCCCAAGTTGGTCACGTCCGCCACCGCCGCCGTCGCCGCCGCCACAGTCGCCGCCGCCGCCGCCGTCGACCTCGTCGTCGCCGCCATCGTCGCCGTCGTGGTTGCCGACGTCTTCGTCGTCGTCGTGGTCGTCGCTTTGGGGGGGAGGGGTCCTGGACCCCCCCTGCAATTTTTGGGGGGATCCGACGTAAGCGATGCATCGGCGCCGTCGGCGTGTATAACGTCGGGTTCCACACCGAGCCGCATCGCAGGTGCATCGCCGATGCATCGGCGATGCGGCGCGATCCTCTGACCCCAACTACCCCGACCCCATCAGGGAGACCTTCTACTTTGAGAATTAGAGCACCTGCAGTGCCGGTAGGCAGTCGCTCGAGATCAAGACTTGCCCAGTTCACCGGTTTGAAACCTGAAGGGCGCTGAGATCGGCTCATCAGTCAAAGCATTCTGGAGCCACTGCGTCCCTCCTCGGAATCGAACGCAAGCTTTTCCCCACGACGTGGCGCCGCCCCCGGGCCCCAAATTTCTCCGTGCATGCCGAGCACGGGCGATTGCGCTTTGTCGTTGACCCGCCGGCCGCGCTGCGCGCGTCCATCAACGACGTTGATTTTTGGTGGGCGAGGCGGTCGGATGAAAAATTGTGTTCGATTTCGATCGCAGTCCTTCGCAGACCTGGCATGCCACCCGCAGGCGCGCCAGCGCTAGGAGACTGGTTTTTGAATTCGGAAAACGGCATCCCCGATCCCCCATGCTCGATCCCCCGTCCTCGATCCTCGATCTCTTGTCCTCGATCCTCGATCCCCCATCCTCGATCCCCCATTCTCGATCCTGGATCCTCCATCCTCGATCCCTCATCCTCGATCCTCGATCCCCCATCCTCGATACCCCACCCTCGCTCCTTGACCCCCCGTCTCATCGATCTTCGAGCCTCGATCCTCACTCCGATCCCCCTCCTCGATCCGAAGAAGAAATCGCCATAATCATATAACTTTGGGCGTGCCGCGCGGATTTCTTGGATCTGCGCTGGGCCCCCCTGGCTGCGCCTCTTACGCCGCCCCTGGCGCGCTCTGCGCGCCAGGGAGGGGGGCCCCGCGCGGATCCGAGAAGTCCACGCGGAGCGCCTACAGTTCATGTGTCTGCCGTGTTCCCTTCTTCTGCCGGTTTTCCCCCCGATCCCCTTCCTGGACCCCACTTTTTTCTCACAGGCGCGAAGCAGCCCCGTGGCACGAAGAGGGGGACGAGGGAGAGAGGGGGGGGGACCATCGATCCTCGAGCCTCGACCCTGGATCCTGGATCCCCCCCCCTCGATCCTGGATCCTGGATCACCTCGATCCTCGAGCCTCGAGCCGCCGGGCCCCTCCCCGAGAGATCCCGGCGCCTCGGACCCGCCCCCCCCCCCGGAGAGCGCCGCGCGCGCGAGGTGGCCCCGGCGGGCGCCCGCTCGCCGCCGGGGCCGGCGCCGCGCCGCTCTACGACCACTGGCTGCGGGGCTGGCTCTGCAAGGGGCGAAGCCGCGGCTCAGTTCGCTTTTCCTCAGATGCGATGCGGTCCGACCTTGGCGAGGCGGGAATTTCTACATGACCACCGCCTGGAGGATCAATTTTCGGGGACCTGGACAGGCGGTGGATATGGACATTTTCGGGCCCCCAGGGGCCAAAATATATCCATGTCCACCGCCCGCTGGGGCACCAGGACGTCGGTGCCCAGGCGGTGGATATGGAATGGATAAATCCCCGCCTCGCAATCTTGGCGAGGGCCCGTTCGATTCGGTTTCGGATTCCGATGTGGGTTCTGGTGCCTCGATGGAGGCACACCTCAGCCTGCCGATTCCTGCCGATTCGATTTCTCTACCGACGTGGCCGCCGAGTTCCGCCGATCCGATTCGTTTCGACCGCCGATCCGGCTTGTCGATTCGGTTCTGGGTTCTCCTGGCGAAGCAGCGGCTCCTCCTCCGGGGCTGCAGAGGAAGAGAAGGTGAGCATTCTTTTATTATTTGTTTTTGCTTTCGGCGGAACGCCCCTCCCCCCCCCCTCCCCCCCCCCCCGTAGAGAAGTTCCGGGCTGATTTTGGCACCTGCTTCAATCGATCGGACGAACTACAGGGGCCGGCGCCCCCCCCCCCTCCCCCGGTAGAAACTCGAATCGCTGATGTGTGCAACTGTGCGCATTTTATCGTGCTACTCTTCTGGAACCACAACGAAAGGGCTCAGGGGCGCCAGACCCGATCGCCAGAAAGCATGCCTCCGGCTGGGCCCTCCCCTGTTATGCCAGCGACGGCCTCGTGGAATCATGAATAGGTGATCCCTAGCAATTCTGGCACAGGCTTGCCAAATCACGCATAGCCTTGGCGCAGCCCCGCGCAGCCGCTGCGCGAGTCCCCCATGGGGGGTCTCCCCTAGGATTCCCTCATCGGCATCTCCCACAGGATTCCCCACATGATTCAATCGGAGGCATTGACTACGGGCCGAGAGCCGGACCCCCCCCCCCCTCCCCCCCATGCGCCTAAAGCCGGAACCCAGAATAAAAAAATGCTCACAAGGCTCCCATCGGCCGTTAAAAATTGGTATTTCTGGACTCTCAGAACCCCATCTACTTCACAAGCGCCTTCCTATACGTCAAGCGTCGACATGCGTTTGCTGCGTTTTGTTGCTCTCTGGGCGGGCCCGAACCCAATCTACTTCATCCGCCTTCCTACTTCATGTCTCTCCCTACTTCTTCCGACCGATGGGTGCCCATACCTCGAAGAAAAAGAAAGCAAACATAGACGTAAACTTTCGGCGCTCCGCGAGGATTTCTTGGATCCTCGCCTGGGACCCCCCCTGGCGGCGCCTCCGGGGGTCCCAGGCGCGGATGCAAGAAATCCGCGTGGAGCGCCAAAAGTTTCTGTTTATGCCGTTCCTTATTATTCCTCTTCTTGTTAGTATTATTATGATGATGTTTACTATTATTATTATTCCTATTTTATTATTATTATTATTATTAGAATTATAATTATTTTAATAATAATTCTTATTATTGACTTAATGTTATTATTATCATTATTATTTAACATTATTATTATTATTTCTCTTCTTCTTCTTCTTCTATTTCTTCTTCTAGAAATGGTACCCATACCCCTACCCTTCCCTCGTTTTCCCCTTTTGGGGCTCCTGGGAGGCCCTTGTCGCCACCGCTGGGTTCGCCTCGAGATCCTCTTCAGAGCGCACCCTGGGGGAGGTCCGGGGAGTAGCGGTATCGGTATTTTTTGTCTCCCCAGGGTTGAGATGGAAAAGTGCATCGAGTGTGAACATACGGTGGGTTCATGCGGCGATGGCACGCCGGCAGCGCTAGCGAAGGCGTGCACGGTTGAACTCCGCGCGATAGAACGTCGCGAAACAACTGGAGGGCGCGGGGACGACATGGAACCTGGCGGAATTCAGCCTTTCAACGATCAGAGCAGGAATCGGTCCAGGGTTGAACGATCGACGCGGTGTCAAAAACCTTGGCGCGCGCCGACGCCTCACGAACCTACCGTATGCGAGTCCATGCCCCCGACTCTGTTTGCCGCTTCGCGCGATTGAGGGGCGCAGCAAACTGTTAGAGCGTCGCACAAAGTCTATAGAGCTCCGTAAATCAAAGAGCGCCTTTCTCCTCCTCCTCATTGTCACCGTCCTAGCTTCATCCTCGTCTATGTTATGTTCTCCTCTTCGTGTTTCCCCCCTCTCCTTCTCATATGCATCTTCTGCCACCACCTTCCCGTCCTCATTCTCTGGCTCATTCTGATCATCTCAGTGTTCGTCCCCCGCCAGTGCTTGCGCGGTAGGGCCTCTCACCCCTACTGCTGAGTAGCTGGTCGGGGGCCCGGTGTTTCGTTTCATGGGCGCCCACGGGCGCCTCGTGGGCGCGTCGTCCGCCAGCTGGGTGCCCTGAGGTTCGCCTGGCTGGCGCCCGCGGGCGCCTCGTGGGCGCTCCCTGTGACCACGGGTGGGCACCTCCCGGGGGCTCGCCCGGTGGGGGCCCGAGGGGGCTCGGTGGGCGCCTCGTGCGCGCGGTGGGCACGGAGGGGGCTCCGCCTCGTCGGCGCCCGTGGGCGCCGTGTGGGCGCCCACGGAACGCTCCTCCTCCTGCTCCTCCTCCTCCTCCTCCTCCTCCTCCTCCTCCATCTCCTCCTCCTCCTCTATCTCCTCTCCTCCTCCTCCTCCTCCTCCTCCTCTCCTGCTCCTCTCCTCCTCCTCCTCCTCCTCTTCTCCCCCTCCTCCTCCTCCTCCTCCTCCTCCTTCCCCCGTCCTCCTCCTCCTCCCCCTCCTCCTCCTCCTCCTCCCTCCTCTCCCTCCTCCTCCTCCTCCTCCTCCCCCTCCTCCCCCTCCTCCTCCTCCTCCCTCCTCCTCCTCCTCCTCCTCCTCCTCCTCCCCCTCCTCCTTCCCCTCCTCCTCCTCCTCCTCCTCCCCCTCCGGGCGCGCCGCCGAGTCACGGAGGCGATGCTCGTTCGACACTTCGCCTTCGTGTCGGGCAGACATTGTTTCGATACTGTCATGTTTTCTGCTGTAAAGATAATTCGGTGACGATTATTCGTTATAGAGGCGGCCCAGATTAGTAGGTCGACCCTGCCAAATCAAGGGTGCTCTTGTGTCCTGTGTCTCGCGACCCATGCCTCTCACATTCCTGTGGCAGTGTGGCCCTCGGAAGGGTCTTGTGTCCTCTCGCGTGTCCTGTCCAACCAAGTCCGACTGTAGTGCGCGTTGCCTGGCAATCAGCCCCAAGAGAGCTCCAACATAGGGCTCAAAGTGGTTCCGAAGAGGGGCACAACATGACCCCTAAACCACGGCATGCCAAGAGCCCTTTGTATCATATCGATGGAAACCCTCCTGGGGGCGGGGCCCTTTTGGGCCTTCTGGGGGCAAGTTCCTGTTTTCGGGAACGGCCAAGGAGTGCCCCTGACAGCCCCAAGAGAGCTCTTGTGGGCCCAACAATGGTTCCGAAGAGGTCCCCCGAATGGCCCCCGACGAAATCATACCAAGAGCCATTGGTATAATCTCGTTGGGGTGTCTCCTGGTAGCACTCTGGGGTCCTTCTTTGGCCTTTTTGGTGCCTGTTCCTTGAACCGAACACGGCCTTGGAGGGTTTCTGGCAGCCCCGGTGTAGTTTCAAGGTATTTTCGAGAGGGCCCTCTAAAGTAGCCTTCAGAGGGACCTCTTGGATGCCACTGTCGGGGGGCCCTCTCAGGGTGAAGCACGCTGCATGACTGCGCTTGTCATGCGCCAGCCTTTCACGCAAAGTCATCATCTCGACATTCGGGGCCTGCACTCTCTTGCCGTCGAGCTTAGAAAGGGTGGAAGTGTTCGATTTCGACGATGGCATCGTCGACCGCCGCCTCCGTCTTGCGGGCCTGCAGCCTTCCCGGGGCCTTGGGGTGAACGGCCCGCCACGTTTGCGCCCGTTGTTCGGAAGCATCGCGCGCCCTGGAGCTCCCGCGCTCCGCGGGCTCCGCGGGAACCGCGCAGCTCTGGCTGGTTTTGCTGGGGTCGACCTGGCTCCGCGCGAAATTGGGTTTTTGCGGACTTGGAGGCTCGAGCAAGGGGGGCGACGGTGAGCGAGCAGAGCTCGCCGGAAAATCTGCTGGAACAATGACGCTGAACAAATTGATACGGGACGCTTATGATCGTTTTCCAAACTTAATTGATCGCGTCTCGGGGTGGTGTGGTGGGGGTGGGCCGTGTAAGATAGTAGTGCAGGTTATATCCCTCGTCCTGCCCTGCTTGTCTTTCGTGTCCGCTCAAGTTTTTTCTGGCTCGAGGTCGTTCGAGCCAGGAGCGCGCGCTCGCCCTTCTGCCCCACCAGCGTGGGTGCCCGCGGCGCGGGCGCTGATCGTCGGCACCACGGCGAGGCGGTGGTGGCTCGCCAGTGCTGCTTTGCTCTCGTACATCGGGGACTGGGGAGTCCTCGACTCTATCCTCTCGAAGCCGTTCGTGGAGCCCGAGGACGACGCGTCCCTGAGGTACACGAGAGAGTCCGAGCGGCTCAGTTTCTACGACTATCTGCGGGTGCACATGTCCAGCGTGACACGATGGAGCCGCTTCTATCGGACGACTGCCCCCCAGCGGGGGCAGGTGGTCCTGGTGATGCGAATGTACCCCAAGAAGAAGAACGACACAAGGTGGATCTACGTGAAGCCGGACCGCGCGCTCGGCGTGGGCGACATCAAGGATCGGGCGAAGATGTCGAGTCGTCGACAGCCAGGCTGGAATTACGAGACGTTCCCGACCCTCACAGCCAACGAGAAGACGGACATCCTGGAGAAGGGCAAGGAGAAGCAGCTCGATGCCGAGCTGTATCTGTCCAACATCCGCGGCTACGTTGCCTCATTGTCCTGGTTTCGCTCTGGTCTGGTTGGCGTATGGAGCACATGGAACTGGGGGTCGACGGTGGGCGCCGCCTTCTTTTTCTGGAGGGTGGCGGTCTACTGCAACCTATGGCAGTGGATGCGCTGGTCAGTGGAGAAGCTCGAGGATGGCTACATCATGATCCTTGAGATCGACGGCTTCCGAGGATATCTGCACGACCTGTACCAAGACGGCAAGCTCGATATTCCCATCATGATCTTCACCGCTGTGGTGGCTCTCGGGCCAAGTCTCCTGCGTTGCTGCAGGCAGCGCCCCTCCCCTTTGCTCGCGGGGGCCTCGCCTCCAGTGAGCGACGTGGACAGCGACGGGGAAGCGGGCCACTCGGTGGCGGGGTCGTCGGACGAGTCCGAGCCAGCCAAGGACATGCAGGAGATGAAGGCCATGATGAGCAACTTGCTCGACGAGATCACCAAATCGAGGTCGGAGTCACCACGTGCCCCCACGAGTCGGAGTGCCTCGTCGGCCGCGTCCCCTGGAGAGCAATCACGCCAGCTGGGAGAGAGTCCCCAGTGTCAACACGGACTCCAGCATGGACATGCATGTGGACAGGATGATCGACCGGCTGGAGCGATTCGAGGACACGATCAATGCGGACAAGGCCTCTCCTGTTTGCAAGCCCTTGCAGGACGCTTCGTCCACGTCGGCCACGGCGGGATCAGAGACGTGCCCTACCATCGACCTGGGGGCGATGGAGACGCTGGAGGGCGCGGGGGTGGGCCTCGAGCCCTTGAGGGAGGCACTCCGGGACCCCAGGGGGAGATTGCTGGCCAAGCTCTCGAAGATCGATGCGCCGCCCACCTTCGCCCTCCCAGCGGGCCTCACCGCCCGCGTGGCGCAAGAGCTGCTGGTCCAGACCTACGGGAAGTACGGCGGCATGGTGAAGTTCGCGACGGACTGGGTTCGCCTCAAGGAGTTGAATCGCAACCACATCGGCCACGAGATGATGCTGCACTGCACGACGCTGGACCGGATGCTGGAGGCCTCGCCCGAGTTCATCCAGACGGCGGGCTGTGAGATCCTATGCGCGCGAGTTTATGCTTTGAAGCGGGCGTTCAAGGACGTGGCGTGCATCAGCGACTGGAAGCAGCCCCGGGGCAGCGGGGCCAACAAGTGGAAGTCCAAGGTGCGCTGGGACCTCGCGAACGAGCTGGACTGGAGGTCCCTCGCGGAGGGCGAGGACGCGCCCCCAGGCGTGGAGCGCGACTTGACGGCCAGGCTGCAGCAGAAGGCTCTCTTCCAGAAGTATCTGCAGAAGGGGGGCTCGGACGCAGTGAAGGAGGAGGACGAGTAGACTTTGGAGAAACTCCCCCTGTCTGTGGTGCCTCGCGGGGCTCCCCGCGCTTGAGGGAGGGGCTGGCGGTTTACCGTTCCGTTCGCCCCGACGACGGCCACTCTGGTGGGCTTACTCTCCCGATAGCTACGGTGACGCTCCTGCTTGTCGCGACGATCTTTCGCGTGGCCCTGCGCCCCTCGGGAGGCGACGCCATGCCCGCTTTTCTCCATCCACGCACTTCTCCATCGTCTACCTCGACGGCGGCCACAGGCGCGCCTCCCGAAGCCGTTCCTCGAGACCGAGACCTTCTGCCGGATTTGCCGCTGCTACCGTGGTCGGTGGTGGTGGACCGCGCGGGGCCGATGCATCAAGGCGCGCTGAGACACGTGCGAGCTCTTGCCAACGGGTTGATCCGATCCATGCACCACCTTTCGCGGGGCACGGTCGGAGCGGCCGAGGGCGCCGGGCCGTCGGCCGCGCGGGAGCGGGCGACGCCGCTCCAGAGGGCTACTTCGAGGAGGTTCCTGGAGGCGTGGCTAGCTTGGGGCGGCCAGGTGGCCGCGATCAAGGAAGACGAGGACGCCGCCCTTCGGCGCGCCATGGCCGGTCGGGCCTCGCCATACTCAGGCGATGGGGCTACGGTTGCCCTGGGAAAGGATTCAAAGGGAAGGGAGATGCTACCAAAGGGCGCGATGTGCTCCGTCGACGTGGAGGCGCTGGCTCTTCCGCCGCCAGGGACCATCCCTGCCGAGCTCGTGGACATTTGCCCGCCGGCCGCCGAGTACTTCTCCGACGTTGCGGGGGGGATGCTACGCGAGCCCAGCAATGCCATTGACGAGGAGCTGAAGGGCCAGAAGGTCTACCGGGATCCGTCTCTCCGATCGAGGGCGTCGCGTCTCCGCCTAGCCGAGAGGCCTTGGGATGCGGGGGTGCTCGGGGCCACCGACGAGCTGGTCGAGGGGGTCTCGCTTTTCGGAGTCATCAAGAAGTACCTGCAGGAGGAGGGGGGCCCCCTCAGCCCCGCCAGGCGCCAGGTGCGCTCCATCTGGGACCAGAGGCGGGCCAACCTCCGCTGGCAGAGGCCCCCGCACGTGCCCCTCGGCAGCCCCGCGACCTTTGCCCACGTGGACCTCTCCAACCTGGGCGAGAGGGACGTGGTCTACACTGGCGTGGGCGACATCCCGGATATGTTCTATCGTTTGGAGACGCCGCCCGATGTCTGGCCCTACTTTGTCTTGGAGGAGGTGCCAGTCCACGAGTTCGTCGAATGCATGAGGACTCAGGGGCGGGACTGCGTCATCCCCGATGGCGGGCCCTTCCTGGCGCTGAAGGTCCTAGTCATGGGCTGGTCGTGGGCCCCGTTCTTGGCCCACTCTACGCTGCAGGCCTGCATGGCGCGCGGGCTCGGGGAGGACTCCGTCGGCGCGCGTCTGGTCTACGGGGCTCCGACGCCTCAACTGACCGGGCCCGAGGGGTTCGAGTCGGTGAACGGGGCGTGCATGGGCGACTACGGGGTCATGGCCACGTCCGCCAGCGCGCAGCAGCCTGTGAGCGAGGTCGTGAGCGGACTGGCGGCCCGAGTCAAGCACTACTTGAGGCAGGTCGGGCTCCCCGTCCACAAGGAGACCGAAGGCGAGGGGCTCGAGTCGCTGGGGGCGGTCATCCGAGGCCGACCGTACTCCGTCTCAGCCGAGACCGACCGCACCTGCGGCCTGGCTCTGGTGACGCTGCGGCTGGTAGAGCGGACGTGCTGAACCGCGGAGCTCCTCGAGCGCGTCGTGGGGTTGTGGGCGTGGGCGGCCATCTTCCAGCGCACGGGCCTCGCCATCTGCGGCCAGGTGTACCGCGAGATGAGACGCCCCGAGACCGCCAAGACGCCGTTCCGACTGACGGGCGCGGCGAGGTGGGAGCTGACTACGATGGCATACTGCGCACCCCTCTTACGTGCAGATCTCGAAGCTCCGTGGCCCTCGCAGGTGTTCATGACGGACTCCAGCGACACGGGCTACGGAGTGGCGGTCACCGACGCCTCGCTGGAGGAGATCAGGAAGGACGCCCGTTACAGCGAGATGAGGGGATGAACAATCGCCACCGAGGATATTCACACAGCCCAAGAGGAGGACGCCTGGGGCCCCCCACGCTGGGGGGTGTGCGTACGACGTCGACGAGCTTATCGAGGCATCGACTGCACCGCCGCCGCGGGTAAGTCGGAGGGTCTACCGGGTGCTGTACCTCTTCGCGGGCAGGCGCCGGGAGGGGGATCTAAAGGAGGCCATCCACTCGCGGGCGGAGCACGACCTCACCAACGACGAGTTCGTCAGCCTGATCCTGAGCCTGGCGCGCGACGGGCACTTCCACGCAGTGATCGCCTCGCCCCCATTTTCAACTTGGAGTCGGGCTCGCGTCCTGGGGAAGGGGCCCAGGCCCTTACGGACGCGCCTCGAGCCTTGGGGGCGGAGCGACATGCCATTCACAGCCTTCGAGCGCCTCCGCCTGGACCTAGGGTCGCCCCTTTTGCTGTCAGCCATGCAGGCGGTCCGCGAGGTATGTCGAGCTGGAGGCCTAGGCTTGATGAGGCACCCTGCGGACCCAGAGGAGGACCCGTACCCGTCAATCTGGAGCCTACCCGAGATGGCATGCCTCCTCGAGGAGACGGGCGGGAGGATCCATCGGATCGACCAGTGCCGCTACGGAGCCCCGTCGATGAAGCCGACCATGATTGGCATCTTCGGGATCTACGACGACGCACTGGACCTCGCCGCGGACCGTCTCCGCTTGAGGTGCAACCACCGAGGGAGGCAGTGCTCAAGGGACGGGTGGAGCGAGGCCGTCCCGATTTTTGCACCGCCTCCGCCCAGGCGTACCAGCCGCCGCTGTGCGCCGCGCTGGCGGAGGTGATCATCGAGGCGTTCGCCCGCGTGACGAAGGAGATGAGGGGCCCCGATCCGACGGGCTCGCGTGTGCCTCCATCCACTTCGTCCTTCGGCCCACCGAGGCCGGGAAGGGCGAGGATCGAGGTGAGGCGGGGCGATCGAGTCAGAGTCCCCCCGCTGTCCCCCGCCTGGACGCCGATCGCGAGATGGCGGCCGCTCTACTTCGGGAGGTGGAGGATCACGGAGCACACGAACATCAACGAGACGCGGGCCGTGGTGGGCCTGCTGCGACACCTGGCCAGATCATCCCAGATGTGGAGGCGGAAGGTCCTGATCCTCACAGACAGCATGGTGGCTCTGGGGGCCCTGGGCAAGGTCCGCTCGAGTTCGCCAGCCCTGCTGCGCTTGTGCCGCCAGGCGGCGGCGATCACCATGAGCTTCGCGACTCATGGGTACTATCGTTCCGTCCCGTCGGAGCTGAACGTCGCCGACGGCTTCTCTCGGGGGGGCTTCCTCGGCGCGGCGCCCGAGACGGTGGCAGCTCACAGCGACCGACGCCCCGCTCCAACGGACAGCCGAGGTCACGATCTACGCGACCTGGGCCGCGCTTGTACGGGATACGCTGCTGGGTAGCCGCCATGGCATTGGAGGCAGTCCACCCTGTTGGAGCGGTTCGCCCGAAGCCACCCAGGGCGGGAGACATCCCCCTGCAGAAGCGAGGGCCACGGGCGTGGGAGAACTACGAGAAGGAGCCGCACCTGGGCATCAGCGAGGGCGGCCTCGCAAGGCTGCTTACCCACTCCGTGGCGGACGTCACCGCGGCGCAGTGGGCCCCGAAGGTTCGAGACTTTCTCAGCCACTGTGTCGAAGGGTTGGGAGCTGCGGTCCTCGAACGCCGTGGACCACGCCCTGGCCGACTACATGGGCATGAAGTGCTACAAGGACCGGCTCCGTCCTACGTGGGGGTCGATCGTCTTGTTCGGGCTGCTGGTGATTTGGCCTGAGCTGAGGAACCAGCTTCCGCTGGCCTTGCGAAGCCTGAAGAGCTGGCAGAGGCTGGTTATCTCGGTGGAAGGGGGTCCCCTGCCTGAGGAAGCTGCCTTCGCCATCGCCATCTACTTCTTCGAGGCGGGGCTCCTGGATGAAGCCATCTGGGCCCTCGTGCAGTGCGACGTCTACGGGCGGGAGCAGGACATGGAGATGCTACGCGAGGCCGACATCATTTGGGATGGCCGATGCGTGGGCCTCCTGTTTGGCATCTCGGCCCGAGGCGAGGAGGGCAAGACGGGCAGCAATCAAGGGGTCGTCATCCGCCGCGGCACCGTCGCGAGCCTCATCCTGGCCCTGAAGGACGTCAAGAAGAATGCCACGGGGCCCATCTTCGGCCCCGAGCAGGCAGGCTTCCGCAAAGAGTGGCACCGCGGATGTCGCTCGCTTGGGATGCCCTGGGCGCCGCCTCCGCACGGGCTCCGCCATTCGGGGCCCAGCGAGGACGTGGCCCGAGGACGGGCCAGCCTAGAGCAGGTGCGGAGGCGGGGCAGGTGGAAGGCATTGTCCAGCGTCCAACGGTACTCCAAGACGTTCGCCCTCACGCAGTTCCGTGCAAAAATGCAGAAGAAGGTGCTGGACGTGGGCCCCCGTGCGACCTCAGACCTAGCTGCCGAGATACTCCGTGCGACAGAGTCCCGCACCAACTACAGCAAGCAGCAGCAGCAGCTGGTCGACGGCATCAGGACGAATCTGAAGACGAAGAAGGTGAAAGATGTCGCCGCAGAGCTCTTGATGCTGGGACCCACCACAAAGCAGAAGCAGAAGACCACCACCAACAAGAAGTCCACCAAGGGTGACACAAGCTGCCCAGAGTCCGACGACCTCTACTCCGACGAGACGTGGGGAGAGGGAACTGGATGGTGGACAGAGTGAGGCGACAGGCCAAATGGGGGCGCCCCATGTGGGCGACTAGGGGCGCCATACGAGGGCCCCCTAGAGTTGGTGGCCTACGGGCGCGACCACCACCCCACGGTGAGCTTGGCCGTTCGCTTGAATATCTTCTTTGTGGCCCCCGCCCGCCCGCCCTGGCCACAACATGTAGTTTTTTTTTTCGGCTACGCCAGGCACGTCAAATGCGGGGGTGGGACTGGGAATCTTCTGATGCCGATCGCAACTCGAGTTTTTGTTGGTTGTGATTTGGTTGAGGTTTTATGGATCTCAATCGGCCTCCCGTTGAATGGTTATATATATATATTTGGCCCGTCTGGGCCCTCGTGCAGTGTGTGGTTGAAACAGTGCTTCCTCATAGGCCGCTTCGCGGCGTTGCTGCACGTCCCGCTGTCAGATACTGTGTATCCTGTCAGCTTCGCTGGCCCTCCGCCTGCCCCCTGAGACGTAGCGATAATGATCGTTTTCCAAACTAAATTGATCGCGTCTCGGGGTAGTGCGGTGGGGGTGGGCCGTGTAAGATAGTAGTGCAGGTTATATCCCTCGTCCTGCCCTGCTTGTCTTTCGTGTCCGCTCAAGCTTCCCTCCCTGTTTGAACGCTTTGCCCGGCCCTGCTCTCACGACACGTGGGACTGAGAATCTTCTGATGCCGATCGCAACTCGAGTTTTTGTTGGTTGTGATTTGGTTGAGGTTTTATGGATCTCAATCGGCCTCCCGTTGAATGATTATATATTTATGGCCCGTCTGGGCCCTCGTGCAGTGTGTGGTTGAAACAGTACTTCCTCATGGGCCGTTTCGCGGCGTTGCTGCACGTCCCGCTGTCAGATACTGTGTATCCTGTCAGCTTCGCTGGCCCCCCGCCTGCCCCCTGAGACGTAGCCATAATGGGTCATTTGCAAGAACAACAATTAACGGGCAAACAGCGGGGGGGGCACCTAGCATGATAAAGTTCAGGACACAACTCAACCATGACATGCCCAGGATGAACAGAGCCATAATATCTAGGGGCGACAGCCAGCGAGCAAAACTCACCGAAATCATACTGTTGTAACAATCTCCCTGAGCAATTGATGGGAGCAGTTGTGGAACATTTGCAAGAACAGCTGACAGACAACAAGCGGCCGGGAACTCTAACATAACAAGCTTAGGGACACAATTCAACCATAATATGCTCAGGGTAAACAGAGCCATAAACGCGCTGGAAACATCGCATACAATCCCAACATCTTTTTTCCAGTGTAGAACTCTGGAACAATGGTTCTGTGTGCTCATTTGTTGTTCCCGAGCGGTGCCGCGGCTGTCCGGGGCCCTCCAGGGCCGTCTTTGGGGCCAGGGGGAAACCCCAGGCAGGCTCAAGCGGGCGTGGAGAGACGGCTCCCCGCACGGCCCCAGAGAGGGCCCCCCCGACTGGCATCCGTGAGCGCTCTTCTGAATGCCAATGTCGAGGTTCTTTCTTGAGGCGCACCTAGGCCTTCCTAGGCCGCGTCTGAGGCCTCCTAGGCCTCCTGAGGCACACCTAGGCCTTCCTAGCCTTATAATTTAATCGCTTCGCTCATGCCGGCGGCCCTGGAGCGCTATTTGGGGCTTCTTGGGGCCGTCTTGGGGGCTTCTTGGGGGCTTCTTGGGGCTCCTTGGTATTGGGCTCCCCTGGGGCCTCTTGGGGGGCCTTTGGGGCCCCCTTGGGGCGGGAGGGGGGTAGTCGATTGCAGCTCCCCCCCTCGGAGGCCACGATCCTTGTGAGGGGTGGCGAAGAATAACCCCCCCCCTGGGGATCGCCCGGGACCCAGCCAGGGCCCGGCCTGGGATCGGCCGGGGTACTTTTCGCTTGGGGCCCCCCAAGGGCCGCCCCGCGCGCGCGAATTAGAAATATTGTTAAGTAATTACTGGAGATGTCAGCGCGCCTCTGGCCCGTTGGGCCGGCGAATTTTGGGGTTGTCCGAGGCCTTCCTAGGCCGCGTTCGGCGCGAGAGGAAGGCGCCGAGACGGCCCGAAGAAGGTTCCAATCCGTATCCATTTTGGCTCAAGTCGAGTCTGCCCGACAAGTTCCAGCAGGGGCCGCGCTGATTAATTGCATCACAGCATCAAGCTGTTTTTCCACACTGAGATGAGAAATTTATTTGTTTACGGTGTTCCCGTTCTCGGACCGTTGCTCGGGACAGACAAGGTGCCGAGTTTGGAAGATGTCGACAAGCTCATGATGGCGCGGGCATTGGTACAAGGGCTTTTGCTATCCTGTCTCGCTGGGACTTTTCAGTCAGTATTGGAATGCTCCGACGACGCCGAAGAGCCTGACGAGCACCAGAAAGTTTTGGCAATCAATTTTCAGTATTGGTCTTTTGAATGCTTGTGCTTGGCCGTCCTTTTCACAATTATCACATACGCCTACATTGTACTTGATCGACCAAGCAGGTGGTGACACTGTAGAAATCAAACGGATGCAAGTGTTCTGGACAACCGGGGGGAGATTTGTTATGGCAGGGCTTGAAGTGTTCACGGTCACCGGGGCTGTACTTTATGCGTGGGGGGTCTCGCGGGCACTTGCGTGCATTTATGGTGACTTACACGGTGGCCATTGGGGCATGGATGGCTTCCTCCCAGGCGGCCTTGCGATGCCGTTGGTTGCATGCTTTGGTGCGATGCTGATTCACGTGTCCTTTAGGAAGATGTTGATGGAACATCTGGATGACCTGCCTGGAGGGGCAGCCGGTGAACCGAGCCTTCCCTTTGAATGCAGGGCTTGTTTGAGGCGCAAAACAAATGAAGCAGGTTCAGAGTAGCTCCTGCAGTAGGTCGGCGAAGTAGGTCTGCAGCGCGCCTGGCAACAGTGGTCGGCGCAGGTAACTCGAAGGGAAAGGATGGCGAAACCGATTAGAAGCTTTCAGGGGGGAAAAAAAAGATGGCTCGAAGAAGGTTCCAAGAGAGCCCCCAAGAGGGCACCAACGTGCTCTTAGCAGGATGCCGTGGGGGGGGGGCCGTTTGGGCCCCTCTTGCAAACTCTGTTGAGCAACTTGGAGCTCTCTCGGGGCTGCCCGGCGAAACCTCGCCAACCGGGTCTTCGCGCGAGGCCCCCACGAGGCTTCCGCTGGCGCCCACCGGGCGAAACCTCGCCGTCCCCACCCAGCGCACGAGGTGCCCGCCCGTGAGGCGAAACCCCGCAGTGCCCACGCTCGGGGCGCCCACGAGGTGCCCTCGGGCGCGCATCAGGTGAAACCCCGAAGTACCCATCCAACTTGGGTACTGAACAGGAGACGTACGATTCCTCAGTGCAATCACTACTTGAGGAGTAATACTCCACGGCGTCACAGTTCTCGTGTGATGACGTGCCTTGCCCATGGTCGTCGGAGCATATCGGCAGGCTTTTGGGGTGCTTGGGAGGCTTCTGGACGCTTCTTGAGGCTTGTTCGAGGGCTTCTCGTTGCCGCTCTGGGGCCTCTTCAGGGGCTCGCGTGGGCTCGCGTGAGGCTCGCGTTGGCTCCGTGGGGCGCACGTGGGCCTCGTGTGGGGCTTGCGTGGGGCTTGCGTGAGACGTGCTTGAGGCTCGCTCGGGGTTGGCACGGGCCTCGCGTGGTCTCGCGCGAGGCTCGCTCGCTGGGCTCGTACGAGCCCCGCACGAGTCCTGCCGCTCCCGTCGCGAGACCCGCGCGAGACCCACGCGACTCCGACGGAACCCGACGCAAGCCCCGCTTGAAACGCGCGCGTGACCAGCGTGGCCCCGGGGCAGGCCCCGCGTGAACCCAGCCGTGGGCCGTTGGTTTCTGGTGGGTATACAGCGATCGTCGCGTGTCTCCGGCAGTAGCCGCGCGCCGGTTGCTGCGAGCGTCTACTGAAGCAGCGGCAGCGTTGACGAGTCCAAGTGGCGATGATCATGCGCGCGCTCCCGTTGCAGACGCATCGGCGCGCGCATTCTGGCAGCGAGTTGGCCGCGTTGAGGCCAGCGTCGACCGTCTCCTCATTGGGGCCATCGCAGCGCGAGATGTGGCTGTTGCCTCCCGCTCACCTGCAAACCATCACATGAGTTTTTGAAGTGAACTTATTTCTGAAATCCTGTGAGGTGGTTGGGCAGCCCAAAAAAACATGCAAGAACAAAAGCAGCATACATTTTTTTCTGTGAGGATTCAGGGTTGAGGAGGATGTTCGAAGATTGAGGCTCCAGGCTCGGGGGTTGAGGTTCGAGCATTGAGGATTCTAGTCGTGCTGGGCCTCTAGGGGCCTCGGGAGTCGAAGCAGGAGCCACGGCATGAATGTAACCTTTCGGAGCTCCGCGCGGACTTCTTGGATCTGCGCTGAGCACTCCTGGCGGCGCCCCCGGCGCCGCCCCCTGGGCGATCCGCGAGCCAGGGAGAGGGACGTTCCGCGCCGATCCCGGAAATCCGCGCGGACCTCCGAAAGTTTATGTTTATGCCTATTCTTTATTCCTTACAGATCGAAGAATTAACAACAATGACATAGTATGAACTGTTGTAGTTCTGCGCAGATTTCTTGGACCGGCGCTTGGAAACCCTTGGCGGCGCCTCCGGCGCAGCCTTTGGCGCGCTCCGCGCGCCAGGGAGGGGGTCCAGCGCAGGTCCAACAATACGCGCGGACCGTCAACAGCTTATGTTTGTGTCGCTTCTTCGGTTCCTTACAAATAGGTACAAGCCAACATTTTCGGATCCGCGGACGACTTACATGCACAACACCGCGTTGGCGTCTCCCGAGTCGTCGTCGGCTTTCGGCCCAGACATAAGTTGGTGCATGGTTCATGTCTGCTCGGCCTCGGAGCCGAGAAAATATACGCCGCACCCAGTTGGAGTTAGGCCTGAAGGGAGTCCACAGACTGTTGGGCCTGTTTGCCACCACCACCACCACCATAAGTTGGAGGGGGGAGGAGGAGGAGGAGGAGGACGAGAAGGAAGAGGAAAACGAGGATGAGGAGGACAAGGAGGAGGAGGAGGAGGAGGACCCCCTCCCCTTCCAACTTATGGTGGTGGTGGCGGAAAAGAGGCCCATCACCCGGTGTATGAGCGCCGCTGTCGTATCCGAGCTCCGCGCGGGTTTCTGGGATCGGCGCCGGCTCGCGCCGGGGAGGGGGGTCCAGCGTGGACCCCACGCGTCCGCGCGGCCCTCCGCGCGGCCCTCCGCGCGGCCCAGCGCGCGCCCTCAGCGCGCGGCCCCACCCCTCCCGCGCCCCTCCCCGGGGCGCGGGGGCGGCGCTGGAGACGCCGACGGGGAGGCCCGGCGCCGGTCCAAGAGCTCCGAGCGGAGCTCTGAGGGCGTTTTTGCTCCTGTGTGTAGCTGCCCAGCCATTCTGCCGAAAAAGGCCCAGCCATGTTCAGCTCCGAGCGCCGCGAGGGAGCGAGAAGAGAACGGGGGGAGGGCGAGCAAATGGACGGCTTGGGGGGAGCGGTGGAGGAGGCGGGGGGAGGAGGGACGGGGGGAAACGAGGATCCAAAGCCAGTACCCAACACCATACGAGGGCCCAGCACCGCGGAGCTCCGAGAGTTCATGTTCACCGAGAACAAAAGAACCCGTAACTCTGATAACACGATGAAGGCGTGGCCTCACCGAGGTCCCCGTTTTTGTGCATTTTGGGGCGATGCATCTGGAGAGTTTGGATCGTTACATGTGCAGCAAGGACCCCCTATCCCTAATGTTCTTCTGGCCCTCCTACCTTCGGTCCCCTCCCAAGGGGCAGGGGTCCTTGTATGGTCTCTCATATGCCTTCGCAGATGTTTGGTCGGGCGATCGCAACCATGGATCAAGGGGGCGTGGATTAGCGACGGGTCTCGTTTCCACCAGACATCGCGGATTTCCGCCGCCGCACGAGGCGGCGCGGGCCGCATTTTTGGGGAGGGCCCCCCCCCCCGATCCGTGGACTTGGCGACCGCGCGCCAGCTCCATGGATCGCTGTCCCGTGCTTGCGCGCCCCCGGCTTTGCGCCTCCAGGTTCTGCTCGCCGGTGGCCCCGACGCTGTTCGGCCTGCGGCACAGCTCCGCAGTGGACCTGTCCGTGCTCCACGACAGGCGGCGCCCCGCCGGGCCGGCCACCCAAAACGCCACGGGCGCGGCGGCGCGGCGCCCCCCCGGTGCAGTGCCGTGGCCGCCTCGCCCCGCTCGGGGCCTTCGCTTTGATCGTCGGGTGGCTGTAAGTGCGGTAAGAGCGTTCATCTTACATAATCTTAGTTAAGCCATAGAACGTACACTTGTTGATCGCGCATCTCATGTGTGCATATGCAATACTTATGGTGTTTGTAAGTGTAGATGTAAGTAATATACTAAGTTAGATATCTCTGCTAAGTCGATGGGGCTGAACATATTCGTGTTTTTGCTAATCATTTGCGTATTTTTTATTCTTAACTTTTTTGAAATCCATTGAATTTCCGTTGTTGTTGTTGTTCAGTTGTTCAGGACCGAGGCGCCGCAGGTACTTGCTGTACCTCGCGGCCGCGGCGCTGCGGGCTGCGCGCATGCCCGCGGGGAGGGGGGAGGGAAGGAGGAAAATGTTTATCCATGTGTCTTCGGCCCTCCCTTATCCCCCCTTTCCTTAGGCGGCGCACCGCCTTCTCCTCCGTCGCCTCGTCCTCCGTCGGCGGTAATCCGCCTTCTCCCCCCCCCATGGCGGCAATCCGCCTTCTCCCCCTCCGTGGCGGCAAACCGCCCTTCTGGCGGCAAACCGCTTTCTCCTCCTTTGGCGGCAAACCGCCTACCCCTTCTGGCGGCAAACCGCCTTCTCCTCCTCTGGCGGCAAACCGCCTACCCCTTCTGGGGGCAAACCGCCTACTCCTCCTCTGGCGGCAAACCGCCTTCTCCTCCTCGTGGCGGGAAACCGCTTCTTCCCAACCGCCCTATCGGCGGCTTGCTTTGCCGCCTCCTTCCACCCCCTCGGCGGCAAGCCGCCCACCCCTTTCCCCCCTCCCCTCCCTGGCCTCTCCTTGACCCACCCTCCCCCATAGCTCTCTTCTTCCCCCCCGCGCACCCTTCGGCACCCCCTCCCCCGCCCCCCCTTCGACACCCTCTCCCCCCTGCGCCCCCCCTCACCCAGGAGGAGGAGGAGGAGGAGGGAGAGGAGGAAGAGGAGAAGGAGGAGGAGGAGGAGGGGGAGGAGGGGGAGGAGGGGGAGGAGGAGGAGGAGGAGGAGGAGGGGGAGGAGGAGGAGGAGCAGGAAGAGCAGGAGTAGGATATGTCCGTCGCACGCGCGTTGGCTCGATCCGTTTTTGGCGAGCCCTCCTCCGAGGGCTTCGGGCGGCGTGCGCGCGCGGGGAGTCGCGCACTCCGCTCGGCGCGCGGTCGCGCCGCATCGCTGCCATGGAGGGCATCCTTCGAGGCCGCCTGGAGGAGGCGCGGGCGGCGTTCGTAGCGCGCGGCAGTGCGACGGAGCACCTTCCTGCCTGCATCCAGGCGGCGACGTCCCAGCGCTGGTCGCAGCTCCAGAGTGCGCAGTTTGCTGCTTTGGGCGGCGGCGTGGGGTGGGCGCAGTCCGAGCTGGGAGACTTCTTGCAGGCTCTGTCGTCGGGCAGCCTGCAGGGGAGGAAGCTCCAGAACTACGAGGGGTTCATTGAATTTCTGACGCCTCAGTTGTGGGAGTTCGTGCTCTCGCCGCATTCGGGCTTCACTGCCAAGATGGCGGCGTTCTCAGAGCACCTCGGGGCGCTTGGCCTGAGGCATCCGAGCTGCCCGACGGCCGCCAATATGGCAGCATTCTTGTTGCTGGTGTGCAAGCAGACAGGCGTGGAGACGGGCGAGATCACGAGGGAGCTGTTGCAGTCATATCTGGCCACAGTGAAATCCTCGTTCAAGAATCTCGTGGCGACGATGCCGCCGCCCAGGGATGGCATCCAGGCTCTCCCCATCACGCCTGGGAGGCTCCAGTCTCAGTACCCCATCACGTACGTCGACGCCTTCCCGCCAGGTGTTGGAGCGACGGCGCCGCAGATAAATCCCGTCGAGATGGTGACGATTGCGAAGCTGATTAATCTCCGTGCAGGGAAGAAGAGCGGCCACCTCGCGCTGCCCGCGCCTGCGCCCGCCCGCGGCGGGCTGCAGCCATCCCACGGCCCAGGCGGCGGCTCTCCTCAGCAGCACCTCCCCATCGCGGCGGCCGATTCGTTCTCTGGGCGCTGGCCGACGGCTCCACGGGGAATAACAGAACGCATTCCCCCGCGGGACACCTGGTATTGGGTCGAGGGGTGGGTTCCTGGATCGGCGCGGGGTACGTTTCTGGATGCCTGGATGGAGGGCGTGTTGTGAAATATTCCCCCCCCCCATCCCCCTAGGGGGATGGGGGGGGGGAATATTTTCGTTCGGCGGTGATCCGCCTGATTTCAGGTGGGGCTTTCGCGCAGCGGCGGCCGCTGGCCCAACCCAGCCATCCAGCTGATCGACCGCTCGCAGACGCAGCAGCCGCAGGAGCCGTTGCAAGAACGAGCAGGTTCGAACCACCAGCTTTCGATGGCGGCGGGGAGTTCGGATGCGCCGTCGACGCAGCAACTGGCGGCACACGATGGCGGCAAACCCGCCGACTGTCAGCCGTTATCGAGCACCGCCGCCGCCCAAACGGCCTCGATCAGCAAGAGCCGCGCGGCGAAGAAGCAGAAGAAGCATGAGCTGCCGATCGAGCTCGACTCCGACTCCGACTTCGGCATCGTCGCCGTGACGCCGCCGCCCAAGGCTGAGAAGGTCGGCATCGCCGCAGGCTCTCTGAAGAAGACCCCGACGGAGGCGGCTCTGGCCATGGTCGCGGCCATGGATAAGAGGACGAAGGCGGTCAAGACGAAAAAGAACGCCGAGGCGGTGAAGGCCCCCACGCTTGCCACGGGCAATGCTGCTAAGAAGACGACGCCGCCTGGCAATGACAACGCGGCAAAGAAGACGACGCCGCCTGCCACGGGCAACGTGGCTAAGAAGACGCCGCTCCCCACGGGCAAGAAGACGGACGGCGCGGCTGGGAAGGACAAGCAGCGCAAGTGGGCGAAGCCGAGGTGGGAGATGCAGACCACACGCAACTTGGCGAGCGGGGTTGAACCTCCCACCGATGAGGCGTCGGGCGCGCGCGGCGATTCCCAGCAGCCCCGCTGGGGTCGCAGTTTGCGCGCCCGCCGCCTTTCAGGCGACTGTTCATCGTTGCTCCGCCCCCCAGGTGCAGTTCCGCAGCGGCAGGGTCGGCGTCCCTGGCAGCAACGTCAGCCTGAAGTACATCGCGGGCGATGAGGCCGACAAGGCCAGATTCTCACCGACGCCCTTCTCGACGCCCTCCTCCGCGCTCTCTTCATTTTCGCCCCTGCCTCGACGCCCCCTCCGCCCCCTGCTGCCTCGTTGCGCCCGATCGCTCCGAGGCCAGGGCCATCGCGGAGGCGGAGGAGCTGGTCAAGAAGGAGCTCGCCGCCAGGGCGCGCGGCGAGTAATTCGCGCTACGACTCTTCAACTCTCCAGGCCAACGGGGCGGCCTCGGGATAACAAAAAGGTCGTGGCGGATATGCCGCCTCGTGGCGGATATGCCGCCTTGTAGCGCAGCCTTCTCGCCTTCCAACTCGTGGCGGACATGCCGCCCCCGCCCCACCCCTTTGCGCTCCTCCGCCCTTCAGGCGGACATGCCGCCGCCCCCCTCCCCTACTCGGCCCACTCCGCGCCCCCGCGCCACGTCCCTGCGCCCCCCTCTCCGCTGTCAGGCACTGGATCCCACGCCAACTAACGTCGGGGAGACGCCCACTGCTCGAACGGCGAAGGCGTTCACCCAGAATGGCATGGGCGCGCGCGAAGGCACCGACGTTGCCACCGCCCGTTCAACGACGAAAACAAGTGAACCAAGACCTGCACATTCAAAGGGACACCAGTTCACTTATATTTCTGGTTCCCAATGCCACCCTCACTCTGCCCCCTCCCCCGAGACCCCGTCGCAAGAACCAGCGGGGCCCTTCTGAGAGGCCCCCGAGGGCTCGAGGAGCTCCAAGACTTCAATGGGTCCATGGGCAACCCCCTCCCCCTCCTCCCGAAGTCTCGCTTCCGCGTCCGATTCCATTTCGGTTCAAGCCCGCGGCCCGCGGGTGCCCGCGAGCCCGCGCGGGGTCGGCCCCCCCCTTTCGCGCCGACGCGTGGGCTGGGGCCCGCGCGCCGAGGCTGCGCCGCAGCCACCGCGTCGCGCTCGGCGCCTCGCACTGCGGCCGCGGCCATGGCAGACAGCGGCAGCGCGTTCGACGCGTTGGAGGCAGCTGCATCGCCAAAACAAGTGGCCCCGCGTGCGGTAGCCAGGGACGCGCGCATCGCGCGCGAAACTGGCTGGCCGCTCTCGGTCGAACTGTTTTGGCGATTCGGCGCAGGAGATGTTCGGGCCAGCGATGCAGTTGCTCTCCGACCTTGCGGGCGTGGACAACAACGCAGGGGATCGGTCTTCCTCCGCCAGCGGCAGTCGGCCAGCCAGCGCGCCCACGTTGGCGGCGCAGCCAGCGCGATCGCGCAGCCCGCGCCACCCGCGGGCACCGTCGACGCCGCCGCGCAGGCGGGGGCCGACGTCACCGCCGCGGGGCCCGCGGCAGCGGCCTTTCCCGCCCTCGGCTCTCGTGAAGGAGCTCGCGTCGCACATGCGGGGCGCGACGCCTGTGGTGGAAGAGCCCCCCGAGGCGGTGGAGGCGCATCCCAGCGCGGTGGAGGCGTTCAGGACGCAGCTGCGAGCCTGGCTGAGCGACCCCGTTGGGAATCCCATCGACTGGCGGTCGGAGACCGTGCTCGCCGTGCTCAAGGAGTACCAGATGAAGTACGACTACAAGAAGTTCCGCGACCGCGGCCCGCCTGGCCCCGCCATGGGCGGGCCGCAGACGTGGCAGGGCCAGGCGTGGCGCGCCAATGCGAAGCGCTGGGGGAACCGAGGTGGCGCAAAGCGCGAGATGTACGCGAAGCTGCACGGCAACAAGGCAGCGCCGCGGGTGCGCGAGGCGCACGTCCCCAAGCCTCAGCTGATGCATCGGGAGCCCATGGCGCCGAACTTGCCCAAGACGATGCCTCAGCAAGCGCCGTGGAGGACTGGCAATATG